TATTTTTTCATCCGGCATATATAACATAGTTGGGACAATAAATTGAACAACGTTTGACCTAAATCACGATTCAGTACTTATATCTGAGAGTCTTCGATTAAAAAAGAAAGAAAAAAAAAAGAAAAAGAAATATATATACCTCATTCGATTAATCGAGTATAAATCTATGAGAACGATTTTTGATCTTTACAAATGGATCCTTCTCTCGTTCAATTAGAAAAAAAAGAAAGAAAGAGAGAGAGAGAGAGAGAGAGAGAGAGAGAGAGAGAGAGAGAGAGAAATAAAAAAAAATAAAAAAGGAAGAAGGAAAATAAGGGAGCATAGGCAATAGGTTAGACCGCAGCAACAAATCAAGATATAAAAATCTCATTTCCACAGGCTGCGAAGTAGGGGATTCCGTTCCGTTAAGTGGTTCGATGCTCGTTCACAAACACTGGCACAGACAGACGTTATATAAACGATCGTTGGCCGAGGCCCCCGACACCCATATCATTCGTTTTCTTTCTCTTAATGCATCTTAAGCCGAAACTTTTTAGTTGGACAAATACGATGCTAACCACGGCGGCATCGTCGAGTTCTTCTTCATCCTCATAGTCGTAGTCATAGTCTTCGTAGTCGTAGTCTTCGTAGTCGTCAGTGGCTTGCGCCCGATACATTACCTACTTAAAAACAATAGCCAGGCCGCAAGCGTTTTCCGACAATGTATTTCCGTGAGAGGGAGTTACTTTTCCTGATTCTCTTTAAATGGTGACAGTGGCTTTGTTTTTAATGCGAGTGACCCACTTGGCCCAGCGTCCCATTTTGTCCCGATATTTTCTATGCCTCCCAGGTAAATAGTATACTTCCTCCTCGCCTACCAACAAGAATCTAGTTCTCTTTCCCCTAACCGATTAATCGTTCTCGATTTTCTCTATATATATATGTATGCGGTAACTTTGCCGATTTGAATAAACGATCGAGTTTAAATACTTTGACGGGGGGAAAAGTGGGGAAAGAAAGAGACCATAGTAATTGATACCCATATTAATCTTATCAACGTAATATTAATACCCATTTCTATTCCCCCCGCCCTCTCAAAACAAAAAAAACCCCATATTAGCAAATTTCCAACGATCTATCTGACCGATCATAACGCAAAAAGAAAAGCGTATAAAAAAAGCAAACTCTTGAAAAAGAATAAAAAGAAAAAAAAAAAAGAAAAAGTCCAAAAGGGGGGAATAGGTATTAACTATATCCAACATCGAAGTTGTTCCTCTCTTCTTTCGTTCTATTCCAATGCAATATTCCTTTATATATTTTTATTTTTTTTTTCATTTTTGTATACAATCCAATGGTAGTACCTATCCGAAGCTATATCACTGAACAGGGAATGGGCCACGTAATGTTTAAACGATCAAACGCGTGCTCGTTGCTACTCTTGATGATACTCGTGTATACGCGAGTACGTTCATGCGCAGTATACAACACAATCATTCGCATACATTCGTATAGAGAGATACGAACATGCATGCACACACCTATACACATGCATTCACGCACACTTATGTTCGATGAGAGTCCCATGAAAAGTGGAGCGCGGGAGAATTGTGCAGAGCAGCGATGCGACAAAGCAGCTAATTGATCGATCAGTCCTTTGCCCGCGGACTCGGCCGTTTGCCATCCTTGTAATGACCTCACGACCCGCCATATTATAACGTTATAACGTTGTAAACAGAGTAGATCGCACCTTCGATGTTTCTAACCTCCCCTTTCTCTCACCCTCTCCCTCTCCCTCACCCTTTTCCTCTTCGACCCACCATTTGTTATCTTCGCACATATTACGTGAACGTTTTTTCTTCGTTAAATATGCGCACGCGCGTCCTATTATAAAATACCGTAAGTATCCAAAATCTTATCTGTAAAACAATGGTTAAAACATTTGAATTTTTACTTTGTTTTTTAACACACGCAACGTCCTGTGTCTGTTACTTTACTCCGTTTATTTTTTTCTTTTTGTGAACAGCGTGTGATGAGCAGCGTGTGTGTGTTATTTTTTGGGAGGCTTTTTTCTTTAATTTTTTTTGTTTGTTTTTCTTATCATTATTTTGTATTTCTTTTTACCATCCATTTTTTTCTCTAGTTCTCTTTTGGTCTCGTAATCTTGAACATAGCGACAAATGCAAAAAAGACAAGCTGATGAAAAGAAAAATAAAAAGAGAAAAACGTAAGGCTAGCTACTACTAACACAACGAACACGTTATGCATGTATATATAGTGTGACCAAGTAAACAGGAACAGGTTAGGTATCCTGACGTTAAAGGGGATGGAAGGAAAGTCAAGTGTCTGCTTTTGCACATTACTTTTTAAAATAATTTTCGTTTTATTTTGTTCCTTTCTTGGTTTTGTTATTTCTTTTAATTTTAACTTGATTAAAGTTTCATATGAATATTTTATTAACGAAGAGAAAAAGAGATAGACAGAAGGAAATGAAAGATAATTGCAATAGTATGTAATTTAGTAAATTTATGAAGTATATATATATATAATATTCTGATAGTTTTTATGGTACGACCGAAGTCATTTTAAAAATTTAACGATATCACCGAAAAATTTAAAAAACTTTGACATTTTACAAGGTTCTAGTAGAAGAGTTCATTTAAGAAATGACTTCTTTATAATTTTATATTATCATCCTGTGCGTTTTTATTTATCTGTAATGAATGCCTTAGAGAAAGTTTCTTTTTTCTTCTCTAATTTGCTCTTCTCTTTGATACGAGAGAAGTCTTTTTTACCAAATTTTTTCTATCTCATACAGTTTTTAATAATTCTCGATTTTCTGTAATACATGATATATGAATAGTTGAGTAATGGTTTTTTTTTTCGTGGACACTCAATATAGTACTCTTTAATCATTATGCCAGAACATTATCGCAAGCTCTTAGAAAGTACCGGTAAAATTATAACTGCGTATCTAAAGTATTGTAAAAAATGTTTAATAAGTTATTTTTCTTTTAACATATAAAAATTCGCGATCCTAATTATACTCAGTCTCTCTTAATTATAATAACCAATACCCACATTGCTCCTGTTAAATTACTCTTTTATTTGTAATTTTCAATTCAAACTATACAAATAGATTTTTATTAAAATCAATTAACACAGAATATCGACAGCCGCGAACGGTCAAACAATTGTATACATATATTGAATAATTCGATGCAACTAATATTGCAAATATTTGCAATATTGTAATAAAAATTTGTTCTTCCCCGTACCCTCGTATAAACGCGTATAAACGCAATTGGAATTTTTTTATTCTCTTTTTTACTTTTTCCCTTTTCTCGCATTTTTTCTTTTTTTTTTTTTTTTTTTTTTTTCATAACAAACGAATGGAGCAGACTACTTTTTTTTAAAGAAGAAATCGCGATGACTCGGAGTGTAAAAATGGTGATAGACTTTTATTCGTACTATAAGTACGTAACGTCGACTAAAATGTCGAACATAAAGATTCACAAAGTTCTCGCGTACGATATTCTTCGATTTATACATTGAGAATGTTGGCTTCCAGGAGTTTTTCTCTCGCGAGAGAGAACTATAAGTCTCTCTTTTTGAAATTTCATAAAGAACACGTATCTCGCTTTACAAGAAAGGAAAACTTGTGGACATATGGACTTTCTTCTTAGCTTCTTCAGCTATGGTAAATCCGTACCAAACAAAGTTTGGCGAACGTTTCATAAATCTTTTCTCCTCTATTTGTTTCTTTTTTTTTTTTTCTTTTTATTTTCGTATTCTTTTTGTTCCTTCGTAATCGTCTTTTCCGCTGATCTCACGTAAATTTAACCAACGCCTTTTGGAAATTGGATGAACATTGAACACCTTATGGTTAGATGAGTTTGATCGACTTCTTTCTTGCTACCAACACGTCTCATAGGTTCTTCTTTAATGTTCGCATATATAATCTGTATAAAAAAAAAAAAAATAAAAATAAAAAAAAACTGGATTTACAAACAATAGATGGCACGCTTTTGTTTCCATTCCAAAGCTGCTCGCTTGAAATCATTTCAAAAAAAAAAAAAAAGGAACAACGCGTTATTGAAGGTTACAACGATACTTTACAATTTGTTAAATAAAATAAAAAAAAGTCTATTCTTCTCTGATAGATCTATTACCTTACAATTGATTTACTTTGATTATTTATCGACAAAAATACAAGAGATATGATTTATTTGAACAAAAAATAAACATTGTCAGACGTCTATTGCAAAAGTGAGAATCTTATCGGTAAACGGGTTTGTTAAATCGAGCTTTTCCCAAATTTGAAACTGGAAAATGTATATTTCCTTTTTTGAAAAACCTCTACTACCTTTCGGATCCGTTAGAATATATTGTAGTTATCTTATTTTTCTTTCCCACTCTCTCTCTCTCTCTCTCTCTCTCTCTCTCTCTCTCTCTCTCTCTCTCTCACTCCCTCTGTTTGTTCTAACGTATAATCAAGCTATCCGATATTTCCTATTTCCGATTGTACTTAAGAACGGAGATCCGCCCTCTTTGTCTACCCAGAATGTATTGCAGTGTTTTACTCTCCTTCTCTCTCTCTCTCTCTCTCTCTCTCTCTCTTTCTCTTCGGCCGATAAAATTTTCTATCGCTTCCAGGCGATACTCTCATGAATATTAACAAACGTAATCTAACGGACGATTTATATTCATAGATTTTCTCTATTACTTTTACTGCTTATCACGACTAAAAAAAGTAAGTGTTTTCTTTTAGATCATCATCATTTGTAAAATATCCCTATAAAATATCGTCAAATACTATCACCTAACAATAATATATTTATTATTCGAATAAAATGTTTATATTATATTAATAATAATTCTCGTTATGTTATAATTAAACTAACTCATTAGACAGTCGTATAGAAAATAATGCATTTATTTAAAATGAATAATGCTAATTTATCAAATGATATCAAATTGTTATTGTTTAAATGATTTGTGAATTAGAATATGTTTCTAATTACCTGTTATACATGAGAACGTCTGGCTTCCAAAGTCGATGGGGAGGAATTCTGAGATCTTTAACGCCACCATACTCCGAGACGTTCCACCTCATATTTACATCATTCCATTCCTGAAAACAAAAAACACACACAAAAAAAGAAAGGATAAAAATTCAATTATATTTATATGAATTGTTTCGATAAGAGATCGAGTAGAAATTAAATATGTATATAAGTTTTATTAGTATTTAATTTTAATTTATTTATATATATAATATTGTTTAAAATATTTATTAAACGGTTTTGTTCGAGTTGCATTACTACTGAAAATGTAACAAGCAGTCGAGATCTTATCGTTTGTGAAACGAGTCTAGTTTGAGTTCTTTCTTTCGAATTAAAGAAAGATCATTTCTTGCCCAATGTAGAAAAAGAACATTTCACGGTTGTTAAAGCATTTTTCGGTTTCATCTTTGCCCGCGCGAACTAGAAAGTCATAAATCCTAGTTAAACGGAGTCACTTTTTTTTTTTTATTCCAATTTCTATTCGGAGTAGATGAGAAAGAGAAAAAGAGAAAAAAAGAAAGAAACCGAGCACTAATACTTTTCTTCAAGTTGGCGAAGAAATTTTCTTGCTAGTTTCACGTCTAGTTTGGCGTCTTCCATGAGAATTTGGAAAAAGTTGGTGAATTTTAATAGCGAAAAACGAAGACAGTATATTCCTCATTCAAATTTGTTCTTCATCGGATCGCTAACCGATCGGATTAAGTTCATAATATCAGACAGTAATAGAGTGGAACGAAATTTTTATTTGTCTATTATTTGTTTCTTTTTTATGATATCTCGCACAAAGCTTGAATTAAAATTATAATAATTTATAGTGCACACACACATACACATACAGATACATACTCACAAATTAAAAGAAATAAATATGTAATATAAAAAATATAGAATGTGTTTATTTTACTAGATTTTTGCTTGAAAATTATTAATATATTGTTGTTCGAAAAAATTTTAGAAATAAATACATTAATATATCTTAATTACATATTTAATGATATTAACTTAAAAAGTTTTATTTGTAACAACGTCGTCTATAACAAGTTGTACTTGAAAAAAAAAGAAAAAGGTAAAACATCGAAGTATATAAGAAAATGCGATTACCGATACGTTATAATATCGCGGGTAAAAGCGATAAGCCGAGATAGAGGGGTGGGTAACCCCCATCCCCCACTTTTTATCCATTTCATCTTGTTGAATTAAAACCTACTACGGATTTATAGATCAATGGGATACTTGAGGATGCATCGTAATCGATATCATCTCAGAGGAATCTCCTCGAATTAGGCGACCTTTGAGTCGCGCATCCCTATTCTGCATTCAATAGCTTAAATTATTGAACCGTATGAATCTAAATCCTTTGAGAATTTCTTATTCACATGCATATTTAGTGTATCGTATCTTTTTTCTTTTTATTTTTATTTTTCTCTTTTTTTTTTCCCCTTCTTTTTCGTTTAGTCAAAATTCTCAACATCTCTTTTTTTTTTTTATCAAATACATATTAATAAATCATTCGAGTAAAAAATAAACAAAAATTTCAGTTAATTTCTAGACCTCTCGTCTCGAGAAAATAATTATATACACATTTAACTTTAATTAATTAACTTAATTCTCTCGTTATTTGATTATAATATAAAATAAAATAAAATCTCTTTCTCTCTCTCTCTCTCTCTCGTCGATTATATTATTACGATAATTGAAAATGAACATTTGCAGTAATTTTATTCGTAATTAAAATTAATAAATATTTCTTTCTACTTCATTATGTCCTTTTCGTAACGTCTATTTTATTATTTTTATTTATATTATGAAAAATATGTTTTGTCTTAGCGCGATATCACGCACGAATAATAACAATTACCCGTACAAAGAGACGAGTGAAAATTGTTTAAAACGAAATATCGACGATAACGCGAGAATTACAGAGGTTTATAATTAGCTGCTTGAAATGAATCGAAGTAAAGGAGGAAAAAAAAAAGAAAATATGTTGCAAGAGATAAAAGAAGATCGATGGAAAGTGTAAACATTTTTTATTCCTTATGCCGCGGATTAAAAACAAACTCGTTTATCACTAACGTCGGAAAGAAAGATCGAAGAAACGTACGTGAGAAAATGAAATGAAAGAAGAAAATAACAAACAAAAAATTGAAAATGAAAAAGAGAGAATGGGGGAGGGTGGTATGAAAAAAAAAGAAAAGAAAAGAAAAGGAAAGGAAAACCGAAAAAATGGATAGAGAAAAAGACGTATGAGAGAAACGGCCGAGATGTTTCGCACGTTGGAAAATGATCTCGAGTTGCCCTTTACAAAGGGATGTCGAAAAAAAGAAAAATGAAGGAGAAAAAAGGGAAGATTTCCTATCGCGTTTCCAAGTAAAGGCGTTCGTGGACGGTTTGCACGGTAGAATAGAGCGTCGTTCAGGCTGACAAGGGAAGGCTACGACATATAAAACTGGGATTTCAAAATAAGGTTTGAAAATATGCCGGGTTATAGTTGAGTTAGAGGAGATAGCATAAAATATTTTCTCTTCCCGTTTTTCAAATCGTCCGATTTTTTCTTTTCTTTCTTTTTTTCTTCCCTCCCCTCCCCGCCACGGTTTTCGAGAAAATTCGATTTCGATTTAAAAATTCCGAACAGGATCTTAGAATTTATTATATTTGTATTTTTTATTTTATTATCGGAATAATAATTTCATTCTGAAATATTTTGATTGTCTTTTATAATTGTTACACACATATACACGAGATATTATATTTAATTTTATTAGAAAATCTTTCTTCAAGTTTATATGTTGAAGGTTCTCTACTTGTAAATCATTAGATTCACACCCATTAGTCACTGACCCCGATTGATTAGCCACTGATGGAGTATGCCGTTGGATAATTAATAATAGCCGCATTGGCACGTTGGTTTACGTGCCATGCATAGCACGTTATTATATACGTACATATGCATTTGAACGCACATCTCTGGAAGATTCACCGATCATCCTTCCTGAATTTCGACGATCAAAGAGTAATTAGTTAGCGAGTAAGAAAATTAGGATTAGAGGAATAAACAAAGAGAGAGGGAAAATGAAGGGAGTGAGGGGGGAGAAGGAAAAGGGATGGAGAAAAGAAAAGAGGAATAAGAGATGAATAAAGAGGAGAAGAAGAAAGGAAAACTCGGGGAGGATAAAACCTTTGTAAAAATTCTATGGCAAAGGCGTTTTTTCCTTCTTTTTTTTTTTAACTTAAGGGAGAGAGTTGTAAATCTCGAATGAAGGAATGGAATAGAAAGAATGCAAGAGGAAACGAAAGATCAAAAGTTAAATGTAACAAAAAGTTACTAGTGAATTCGACGAAAGATTTTCTTCAGTTATTTTTTTGTTTCTTAAAAAGCCAAAAAAAAAAAAAACAAAAAAAAAAGAAACGTAATACACGTATAATATTTACATTAGTCGATAAAATTTTGGCTTACGAATTTACATTAATGCAATAAGTATTAAAACCAGATAAACGAGAAATCAGAATTGACCTCCTTTTAAAATGCAAACTCCTTAAAAAAGTTTCCGTCCCGTCGTACAAAGCTCGTAAACACAAACCCTTCCTTCCATTGCTTCTCTTCGATATTTTACTTCGAGAAAGTGAAATGAGAGGACGGATAAGTACGAGAGTACTACTCGAGACATCCGTGTCTATCTATCTATCTATCTTTCTCTTTCTCTATCATCAACGACAGACACCACCGGCTCAAGTGGGAAACGGTTGTTATCGTAAACTTTAGTAAGTGTGAATTTTGTCAATCGCTTTTTTAAAATAACCGAACGATTTATACGAAATTTGAGAGATTTTCTATACATATATGAATATATATATATATATATCGTTTAAATTTAAAAACGCAGAGTTGACAGATTTGGCAGGATAATAAATAATAAGGGTTGGGTAAGGTTATTTCTCATGTAATAACATCGTAATGAGTTAGTAATGCACTTCGTGATTCACTTCATTCTTTCGACTTGAAGGAGAAGCTAATTAAAGTGTCACTGTAATTAAGGCCGCTGCGAAAATGTTGTCGACTCGTCGCCCACGGGAGCGTAACCTGCTTCGTCTTTTTTTTTGTTCTTTTCTTTTCTTTTTTGTTTTCTTTCTTTGTTTTTTAGATAATTTTTTTTTTTTTTTTTAATTTAAAAAAAAATTTTTTTTCGTATCCCTTTTCGAGACTCTTAAAGACAATGGGATTAAAACTTAATAAGTTAAATGTGATAATAGGTTTTTTTTTGCTATAGTAAATTTATAATAATAAATAATATTTAGTTAGCTTACACCTCTCTTTAGTTATCGTAGTCCGGATGAATATTTTCATCGATTTTCGTCGTGGCTGCAGGCAGCTAACACGTTGCTAGCCGACCGTGCGACGTCTATTTTTATCGACGACTACTACGACGACTACGACGACAACGACGACGAGAAAAGAAGTGAGAAGAGAAGAACCATATTTCAAAATCTGAGAGAATGTGTTGGATTTGATTAAAAAAACAAAAAAAGAAACAAACAAACAAAGAGGCGAAAAAAAGTATAAGAAGATAAACAATGAATTCTATCATTACTAGAATTAATTGTATGATTTTCATGCATTATAATAGTCCATTTATTCGATATCCAATCGTATCCTTCCGATCATCAATCACGTAATTTTATTTAAATAAATCGTATTCTTATGAACGATCACAAAATAAATATGTTTTTTTTTGTTTTTCCATTTTAAATATCTATAAATACGTTTGAAATATAGAAAAAAAAAATAAAAATATTCGCGTAAAAATCGTGCTTCTAAATATACGCGAGTGTACGCGAGTACGTATGAAAAAGAAAAAAGAAAAACAAAGTCAAATGAAAATAAAATAAAAATAAAAATGAAATAACAACGCATAGAAACGTACGCGGAACCACGTACACGATGCACGGTTATTTCGATGAAATCTGTCAAGCGAAAAAGTCAGAAGGAAGGATCGACGTTAACCCGCTTTTCTTTTTTATCCAAAGTTATCTAAACTCGTGCAACAACGTCTGGTCGATGATGCTCTAACGA